AATAGTTTTTGCATTCAAGTTAGGTCTGGGAGATTCGTTACGGGGGGAAGTCGATAATTTATTGGAAAATTCGTGAAAAATTAATGGTACTTTGTAGGGATTTTTTGAAGGTTGAGAATGATAGAGTAGACCCTAAAGCTGAGTCCAGAATAGTTTTTGCAATCAAGTTAGGTCTGGGAGATTCGTTACGGGGGGAAGTCGATAATTTATTGGAAAATTCGTGAAAAATTAATGGTACTTTGTAGGGATTTTTTGAAGGTTGAGAATGATAGAGTAGACCCTAAAGCTGAGTCCAGAATAGTTTTTGCATTCAAGTTAGGTCTGGGAGATTCGTTACGGGGGGAAGTCGATAATTTATTGGAAAATTCGTGAAAAATTAATGGTACTTTGTAGGGATTTTTTGAAGGTTGAGAATGATAGAGTAGACCCTAAAGCAGAGTCCAGAATAGTTTTTGCATTCAAGTTAGGTCTGGGAGATTCGTTACGGGGGGAAGTCGATAATTTATTGGAAAATTCGTGAAAAATTAATGGTACTTTGTAGGGATTTTTTGAAGGTTGAGAATGATAGAGTAGACCCTAAAGCAGAGTCCAGAATAGTTTTTGCATTCAAGTTAGGTCTGGGAGATTCGTTACGGGGGGAAGTCGATAATTTATTGGAAAATTCGTGAAAAATTAATGGTACTTTGTAGGGATTTTTTGAAGGTTGAGAATGATAGAGTAGACCCTAAAGCTGAGTCCAGAATAGTTTTTGCATTCAAGTTAGGTCTGGGAGATTCGTTACGGGGGGAAGTCGATAATTTATTGGAAAATTCGTGAAAAATTAATGGTACTTTGTAGGGATTTTTTGAAGGTTGAGAATGATAGAGTAGACCCTAAAGCTGAGTCCAGAATAGTTTTTGCATTCAAGTTAGGTCTGGGAGATTCGTTACGGGGGAAAGTCGATAATTTATTGGAAAATTCGTGAAAAATTAATGGTACTTTGTAGGGATTTTTTGAAGGTTGAGAATGATAGAGTAGACCCTAAAGCTGAGTCCAGAATAGTTTTTGCATTCAAGTTAGGTCTGGGAGATTCGTTACGGGGGGAAGTCGATAATTTATTGGAAAATTCGTGAAAAATTAATGGTACTTTGTAGGGATTTTTTGAAGGTTGAGAATGATAGAGTAGACCCTAAAGCTGAGTCCAGAATAGTTTTTGCAATCAAGTTAGGTCTGGGAGATTCGTTACGGGGGGAAGTCGATAATTTATTGGAAAATTCGTGAAAAATTAATGGTACTTTGTAGGGATTTTTTGAAGGTTGAGAATGATAGAGTAGACCCTAAAGCTGAGTCCAGAATAGTTTTTGCATTCAAGTTAGGTCTGGGAGATTCGTTACGGGGGGAAGTCGATAATTTATTGGAAAATTCGTGAAAAATTAATGGTACTTTGTAGGGATTTTTTGAAGGTTGAGAATGATAGAGTAGACCCTAAAGCTGAGTCCAGAATAGTTTTTGCAATCAAGTTAGGTCTGGGAGATTCGTTACGGGGGGAAGTCGATAATTTATTGGAAAATTCGTGAAAAATTAATGGTACTTTGTAGGGATTTTTTGAAGGTTGAGAATGATAGAGTAGACCCTAAAGCAGAGTCCAGAATAGTTTTTGCAATCAAGTTAGGTCTGGGAGATTCGTTACGGGGGGAAGTCGATAATTTATTGGAAAATTCGTGAAAAATTAATGGTACTTTGTAGGGATTTTTTGAAGGTTGAGAATGATAGAGTAGACCCTAAAGCTGAGTCCAGAATAGTTTTTGCATTCAAGTTAGGTCTGGGAGATTCGTTACGGGGGGAAGTCGATAATTTATTGGAAAATTCG